GGGATTGTGCTGCTCAAAATGGACCGCAGCGTGGGCACCGCCCGGAACCTGCCTCCGCGGCCCCTTTTCGGGCGGTGGCAAAAAGCCCGGGTGCTCGGCCGTAAGCGGGACAGCAGCGCAGGAGCTGGAGTGAGAGGATGACCCCGTCTTGAATTCAGCCTCTCCCGGGTAAGAGAGGCCAAACGGCACTGCCGGCGCTGCCGAGGAGCCGCTGACGCTTAAGGGACAGATCTCCCTCAGAGAGGCTCTGAGCGGCCAGGCCCTGCCCCTGCCCCTGCCCTTCCCTCCTCTGCTTTGCTGGTACTTCCTCGGCAGAATTAAGGTGATGGAGGTGAGGGTGTTAGGGTTGTTTGCAAATCCATTACAGGAAAAGGCAGCTGAAGGTAAATTAAGTGTAAACAGGCCCCTAAAGGAATGTAAACAAAACGCTGAGGAATCATCATCTCAGTGAGTGCTGTCTTTGCACCAGAGGGTCTGGAAGCTGAACACAAAACTGTGAGGCCAAAGGGACAAAGTGCTCCGAGCGCATGCGAATGACTATTTAACAGCACGTTAGTTACTTTCTACTCCATGATTTTTCATAGGTGTTAACTGTGAAAGTGGGCTCAGGATTTTTGGATGTATATGGTCATACTGAAGACAAATCTGTCTGTCCCAGCCCTACAGAAGTATTATAGTAACTTTGCAGTGCTGCTAGGAGGTTCAACCTGAACATAAGGAGGAACTTTTTTACTGTGAGGGTGACAGAGCATGGCCCAGGCTGCCCAGAGAGGTTGTGGAGTCTCCTTCTCTGGAGACACCCAAAGCCCTGGCCGTGTTCCTGTGACTGCTCTGGTGATCCTGCTCTGGGGGGGTTGGACTGGATCAGCTTTCCAGGTTCCTTCCAACTCCTGATACTCTGTGATTCTGGAATCTGATACTCTCTTCCAAACACCTTCATTTTATTTAAACTTCCAACTTCTAATATTATGTAAGTAGGCCTAGTTCCCTTTTTTATTTTGCTTAGTACAAGTGCTGCTTAACAGTAAACAAACTTACATTTCCCTGTACTAAATCCCCTTTTTAAAGGCTCGGACACCTTGAGAAGGCAATGTCTGATCTTGAAGCTGAAGATTTTGTTTCTTTGCTATTTACTAGATAACATAATTACTGCTTTGTTAGGTAAACACCTGCTTCTCAATTTTTTCCCTATCCCTCTCTATGCTCTTCATGAATTAGAGAGCAGCAATTCACGTTGCAGGTATTTGCTGAGAGCTTGGGAGTCCAAAGCTCTTCTGCATGCTGTCACTACAAGGTTTTTACAGTCGTGCTGGGAGCTGGGGAACACCAGACTTTCCCACTGCTAGAATTGAGAAAGTAATGTAATTGAAACAAACCTCTCTTGGTCCAAGAGTTGTAGAAGCAGTCTTGTACAGATCTAGCTCTGACTGGACTGTTTAAACCATGGGTGAAAGGGACTCATCTTACAGAAGTAGGACTCCTACTGTTCCTGCAAAATCCTCTGGATTTTCCAGTAATTTTAAATGGCGGTTTTGGAGAATTTAAATTTTCAAACCTTGCCAACAAAGGCATTTCTTTATCACCAAAAATACACATGACAATCACTGTTCATACCTTGTGTGCAGTCTGTGACAAGCAAGCGAGGGCTGTCAGCTTATTGCAGTCGCCCTGGGCCAAGCTTTTGCCATTCTCACAGAAGGGCTGAGGTTGGAAGGAGCTTCTGGCCATCGTCTGGTCCAGCCTCTGCTCAAGGAGGGCCACCTAGCAGATTCCCTCAGTCTCTCACGGAGGCTTTGCTGCAGTTTAAATAAAATGAAGGTGTTTGGAACAGAGTATCAGATTCCAGAATCACAGAGTATTAGGAGTTGGAAGGGACCTTGAAAGCTCATCCAGTCCAACCCCTGTCAGAGCAGGATCACCAGAGCAGTCACACAGGAACACGGCCAGGTGGATTTTGAATGTCTGCAGAGAAGGAGACTCCACAACCTCTCTGAGCAGCCTGTCAGCCTCACAGTGAAAAAGTTTGTCCTCATGTTCACATGAACCTCCTGTGCTCCAGCTGCACCCATTGCCCCTTGTCCTGTCACTGGACATCCCAGAGCAGAGGCTGGCTCCTTCCTCCTGACACTCACCAGAAACATTCACGAAAACTGCAAAATTGAAAGTAAGATTTTTCTAAGAAAATTACATCTCATATTTGTACCCTGTGAATTCTGGTTCATTTATTTACTATTTCAAGTGAAGTAGTGGAGTATCTAATTTCTTGGAAGCTACAATTCTGCTTTTGTGCATCTCACAGTATCCAGTTAAGTGAAGTAACTAGCGATGTATCTTTAGAATAAAACTTTTATGCACACCAATTTGCAAATCTGTTATGAAATACACTTTTATTTATGTTCAGTTGTGAGCAGAGGTACATTTCAACCACATTCTGTTGGAAGCTTACATGTTACAGAGCTTCTGCGGTTTAGTGCAGTAGTTTGTCCTGACCTTCTCATGAACGCAGTCACTGTAGTCAGTGTTACATTTACCACACTTGCAGCTCACCGCCACAGGGTAGGAATAATAAGGGATGGTGTGATGAGGACAGCCTGGAATCAGTGCCGTTTGATACAACATCTCTTTGTATGTGCACACATTCTGGGACAGAGCACTTTTGAGTAGCAGCTTCTTGCCATTGCTGTCCTACAAAGAGAAAGGAAATGCATTGTTTCACTGAAGCATGTATGAGTGCCAGAAGACCTCCTTTGATGTTTTTTCAAACACGGAGAAAGCAAGCCTCTTTACGCTTAGCCTGGCTCTGATATTTTCAGTGTATTTCTCGTTCAGATCTGTAATTCTGAATCTGCAGGTGACTGGGGCTCTCTACCCCCAGAGTTCACCTTGCTTTCATGGTTTTAACAACTCTGCTTGGCTCCGAGTGCTAACAGCGCTTTGTAATCTGGCTACCTGCTGACCAGGGTGGAACTTAAGATGCTGTGTTGAACAGTGAAGCCCAAGCACAGTGTTTGGCATGCCTGCACACGTGGAGATACTCTCCATGGCTGGTTGTCCTAACAGTAGCGGGAGCAGAAGTTACCCAAGTCATTTATATCAAATAAGAGTGACTGAACACAATCTGCTGCTCGCCTCTTCCATCCTGACCCCGCAGACTGACTACAGAGGCTCAGTGCTGACAGCAGCGGTCAGTTCTCTGCTGCGCCACTGATATTATGAACTCCATGGTTACAGAGCCTTGGCATTTCTTATTCATACCTTCATAAAAAGCCAACTTGAAAACATGATAGTGTGATTTTCCTGTCTATGACAAACACTTAGAACTGGATCATTTACACACAGTTTTCCAGTAAAAATAGGCACTTCTTTTGCCATGATGGTCGTTATAGAAGCAACGGCCTAAAAAAGAGTAATGCCTTGTACCCGAGTCATGCAAAATCCAGCGCAGATGGTAGTGTTGATAGCCAGGCAGTAGGCACATTCCCTTTTCTCCACATGGATTATGTACTCAGAAGGAGCACAAAGTGATGCAGTTCGACCGAAAGTCAGGCCAAAGAGGAGAGACATCACAAAGAAGGGACTCATGCTAGATGGGGGGAAAACAAACAAAGCAAACCCTAATTAAAATTAGATGTAACTTCCAGCCCTTTTCTCAGAATTTGACAAGAACAGTTATGACAGTCACAGACTAGAAGCAGTCTTAAATTTTTAGCTACAGCCCGACAAATTCTTTCCAATCTCAGACCTCCAGTTGAAATAGCACTAACCACTAAACAGAACAGAAGGTTAAACAGGCCATTAACAACCTATAACATTCCCTTTTCCCCACTAAAGCCTATCACATGGAACTTGTCACTGAGTGATAAAATGCTGACACAGAAAAATAACAGGAGCTAAAGGATTTGAAACTGTGACATAAGTGATAGAACTTAAGCTCTAGAATTAACCAGAGATGCTAAAATAATCTCACTGGTTTAAAAATAATTTTCTAAAGAAAGCATCTTACAAAATGTTCAAGACAGAAAAAGAAACAGCTGTGTATATCAGGCAGACCACTATTTTTTTACTTTCCAGCTGGCTGGGAGGCACTATGAATGGGAACACTGCCAAGAATTAAATAATAGATTCAAGAAAATTACAATAAAGAACATCAGCAAAGAGTTCAGATCAATGAATCCACACTTTATATCTGCCTGTTGAGCTGACCTCATTTCTCAGACCTGCTGGGGGATCCCGAGAACAAAGCTTTCATTAGCTCTCGTAACATGCCAGGGTCTATGCTACAGCCTCTAAAGTACAAACTTTACATGGCAGTGTCTACCCATGTGGACATCACCCTCCAGTCTCTTCCAGCTGTCCATTCCCATAGCAAAAGCCATTCATTGCACAGTCTGGTTTACCCTGTAGCTGCAACAATGCACGTCTGGAAAGACCAACCTCTTGTCAGCTGAATTCTTCCCTATTACAGGAACCTGATTCTGCCTTGAGCGGGGAGAGGCAGTGACCCAGCACAAGCTCTGTGTGTGCTTTATACTCTCCAGGCTAATTCCAGGCTGATCTTACTGTTTATATAATTGCATCTGAATTGCTGCTTTCTTATCGCAAAGTCATCTATTGAAAATTCATACTGAACCACAAAGCAAATGTGATAGGAACAAACGTGTCCATAATATCCTAACCTGGAAACTGGAGCTGGAAATCTAATTATTTTAACAGTCATTCTCTTCTCAGGCTTTTAAACTAACCACTGCTTTAAAAAAGTTATTATTGATGAATTTAATTGCTACATAGGACACCAACATCATGACAGAAAGGCTAGCATGGAAATGGAGTCATCCGGATTCACATATGGCTAATTCTACACCTGTGTTTTGTGGACGTCTGGTTCACTCAATTTGCTCCTTACCAGGCAGGCACAACTGAGAGATGCAGTGCTACACACAAAGTAACAAATCTCAAATCACAGCAATTGCTCTACAGTGTGGTTAGGTATAGCCTGACTTACCTACTCAAACAGAACACACCGAGAAATCATCTGGCCTTGAACCTACTGAGCAAATACTGAAGTAACAAGCAATTCACTCTGAAATACTGATAGCGGAAAAGCTTTTGAGAAACCCCTCCTTGCAGAAAAATGGCAAGTAGAATATTGCACCAACACCAGTGAAACTGAAATGTCCACAGATGAGGGAAAAACACTCAGTTCAGGGCTTTGTGGAACACCTGGGAGGAGCGAAAGAAAGAAAGGGTCGATCAACATGTGTATCTCGCACTGATTCAGCACAAAGCCACTGTCCTCTACTGCTTCATCAGCATCCAGCTGCCCTTCCACTGTGCTTGTTGACGGCAGCTCTGCTCACACTTACCCTTTCTGTGAATCGCCTAACTGCCATGTGAACTTTGATCTGATGGATATCTTATGCTGGTCAACCACATGGATTTCCAGGGCCATAAGAAGTATGGTAAAGCCGAGTTTGAGCTGGTGAACATGGTCACTTTGGGCTGTCAGAGGAGTGAGCCGGTCAGTCCCGACTGGTGGTGAGCCAGTTCCTGAACACTGCTGTCTCCTTTTCCAGTGGTTTCGGACTGCCGCATGCAGTTTTGAGTCCTGGGCTAATTGTCCAAGGGTTGTTTTTTTTAATAACATGGAGTTCTTGTTCTGTTAAGACTAGCCAAATGCCTTCTGTTTTCATGGAGACTTTAATTATGGATTAATTTCTACCACATAACTTCTCATTAATTAAATATAACTGTGTGGCTTAAGGATGTGAGCAGAGCATTAATTGTACTCTCAGTAACATCTGTCCATCTACACTTAGCAACAGAAATGTAACACTTCTTTTGCTGCTACTCAAATACACTATTTAACTTTTTTTAACATATTTTAAATGCAGTTAAACATACAGGCTAGACAAGTATACACATAGATAATGTGTGTATGTACATATACGCACACACTGTATATATACACACACGTACACACTACATATGTATGTACGAGTTTGGTTATTTAAAACTTTAACCACAGAAAAGAAAGTCTGTTTTTGGAATATCTTAGGAGTATTTCAAAGGAGACAACAATCCTGAAAGGAAAAGGAAACGATTCATAAAACCAGATCCTGGAGAAGACAAAGCTGATTCTTTTCTTTAAAGATTTCACAGTGATTTACAAGCACAGCTTTAGGCAACTGGAGCTACACTTGTATACATTGGTCCCCACATCCAGGTTTAAAATGTCCTCAACATACCCTATGAGAACATAGGCAGAAGATAGATCAAGGTATGAAGGCACATATCCTTTGCTGCTTCAAAGTGCTAATTTCTCCCATTTCAGAAAAACTGGTGTAATTGGGGGTGTGGAATTCAGATTAGGGTAAAAAAGGATTAAGAATTTGCTTTAAGAGGATTTAGGGATGCAAACATCAATAGCAAAAGAAAACATTATAACAATGTTTGAAAGTCTATCGTCGTAAAGATGAAAAAGAGAATGCAGCAATAAAAAACTATGGCCATGAAAAAAAGAGAAAGCAAAGAATCATTTTTAGAAGAGAGAAAACGTAGAAAACTTGCATGGGAAGCTGGAGACTACGAAATAAACTTCAGTCAGGACAGAGGCCAACAGTAATGTCAAGGGCCGTTACTAGGTGAAGACAAGCTGTTGATGCTGAGTAGGTGCAAAGTCTTCAGTAAGTGCATTTGAAAATGTAGTGGCTGAACAACTTACACGTTCACAACACCACATTATCAAATCATATGAGGAGTGTCTTGAAATCAACATCATTAGCTAGCAAATGCTAATTTCATCAAGTCATCAAATACTGCGGAAATTTCAAAACATTAAGAAAAGTGCGAACGTTATAGCAGTATTTACAGAGAGAATGTTGACCCAGGTAATTCTCAACTAGCGAGCCTGACATCTTCCCCTGATAATTTAGCTAAAATAACAGAAAGTTGATACAGGATTTGAGCAATAAAGAATTAATGGATGAGAACATAATTAATGCCCATCAAGATGGTATTACATAAAATAGGTCATGCCACACAAACCTGATTTCATTCTTTGAGGTGATTACAAATTTGGTTGTTAAGGCAACTACATAGATGCAATGTCCTTGGTTCCATCTGTCAAGAGCCCGACTGTCATGAAGACTTAGAGCTATTAGGCAGAGTCCAGTGTGGTGTACACTGAACGTCAGGAATTAATAATCACTGGGGCAGGCAGTATAATTTCAGCACTGCATTTATTCACTGCAACTTTTTTACCCAGCCACTGAATGCACTGCAGTGCATTACGGAAATACCTGACCACATCTTAAGAATGAAAATTCATTTATCTGGGAGCACAATAAGTTAGTCTGAGTGGACCTCGAGACTAACACGACTACTGCTGCTCATACTCGGGTCCATGCTGATAACGGACACAGAACCTCCTGGCTGCAGCCTCTTTGCTGGCCTCATGTTAACCTGCCCATCTGTCAGAGATGCACTAAACATCACCAGAGTGATGCACACATTCACATTTCTTCTGTCATTCACACAAACTGCTAAGCTGGTAGAAAAACTTTCCCTTGATTGTCCTTCTGGATATGACCCTGGAGTTCACTCACTGCTGACCTCTCTGAACACTCGGTGGGAGCAAGGTCCCACTGCCTGCTGGAAACAGCAAGACAGTGTTGCAGCACAACAAGGTCCAGTGTGGCAATCTGTGAGAGCCTGAGGTTTCTTTCATACAGTTTGCTAAAATCTAGAGTTAAAAGTCTGATGCTTATGGATGCATTTCTTTGGTTGCCCCCCCGCTGACCTGCAGACTGTTCAGTGACAGAAATTTTTAATGTGCTTTTACAGCCATCAGCTTTGTAGCCCTGTTCTGGAACAGCCAGTTACACTGTTAATTATTTATCTTTAACCTTTCCGTTAACTAAACCAATCCATTCACTGACATCAGTTATTTTACACTTTCATTAAATGAAAGGCAGTATGCAGATGTTCTGCAAGAAGTGTTTTAAGTGATCTCTGTAAACAGAATTTAGCAGTCATAAAATTCTTGGGTTCATTACCCAGGAATCTCTGCTTTTTCCCTGGTAGTACAACACACTGAAAACTCTGATCTTATTGGCAGGGTAACTTACAGAGCAGAGTAACTCTTCTTTCCACTGCATATAGCACTGTGGAAATTAAAAGAAAAACATGTCCGTGCTTGCAAACAACAGAATTAGAAGCTGTGCTGATGAAAAACCGACAAAGCTCATCAGATTTCTAAAAGATTAGTATTCTGGTAGAGGAATTATTTCCAACTCCATCCTGTTGCAGACCTCCACTGATAAAAGGAAATAAGATCCTAATATGCTGCCATAGAAACAAGTGGTTTTGCATTTAAACAGACCATTCAGGCTGCTGAATTTTCAAAGCTTATCTGTCTACTGCAAGTCTCTGTAATAGCTTGAACCCTTTTTCTTCTCTTTCTTTCCTAAGATTAGCTGCAGCATTTCCTATCAACCACAGATAAAAACAGCAATTCTCTTTGCATATCACATGCCAGTGATCTCCATTTATGGTCTGAAAATACTTCATAATCCTATTTGCTGTTTGGTTCACATGACAGACTGCTTCGTATTTGGTTTCCTTTCTTTGGAAAATGCTAGATATTTCTGTTATTCCAAGATACACAATCGTTATACTGAGGAAAAAAATAAAAATAAACCAAACAACAACAGACAAGCCAGAAGCCTCTGCAGGGATTATCAGGGATGACTATACCCACCCCGTATTGTAACTGCTAAATGGGAAAAAGCCCGTGTTTAGTTTCTAGGGGTTGTAGTGTTCTGATTCGACTGGCAATCTGGTAAGCAGTCAGTAGGTAATCAGACAAGATCTTCACTGATGAAGATCTGGTATGGAGACTTGTTACAATGCAAGTACAATTGACTTTTAGAATGTTTAGGCTGTGTTCTTGGTACAAACACTGGGTTGTGTTTGCGTTTCTCCTTTCAGGCTTTGGTCGTGCATGGCCACCTGGAGAAGCATCACCTACCACAGCTAGGACAGACTGAAGTCTGCCAAAGTGAATGCCTCCCAGTAAGGAAGCCACTTTGATTGCAACTAAAATCTAAAATGGCTCTAAGGAAGGAAAAGAGAAGACCGTTTTTCCTAATGAACTCTTGCCCCCAGGATACTCCTGGTAGAAACAACGCAAATTAAATTAAGTACTTTGATATCTAGGGACAGAAAAGGTTTCGGAATAACACTGTTTTATACTGTTTTGAGTTTTTTATTAGAGATATTTAAGTCCTGTAGCATTTTTAAAAGAATCCTTTTTGTTTAGAAATTTAAAGGAACATTATTACTGTTTTAGAAATAGTTGTCCTCATAATAACTATCACACATACCTGAGGATTTTTTAAATGTCTCTTTTTAATAAAGATTTTAATATCTTCCTTACCTATGCTTGAGGAAAACTGTTTAAAGCAATTCTTCCAGTACAGTGTCTGATTCTGAAAAACTACTTTTTAAAGCCACTGTGAAGTGA